AAAAAAAAAAAAAAAGAAGTAAAAAATGGAAGTAAGCGTGCAACACTATTATTGAGGATAAATGAGATATGTATGAACGACGTATAAATAAAGAACATGAACGACGACATCATACTCTTATTTATCACGATTCATGCTGTTCATTTTCAGTGTATATATTTTGTCGACAAATATTCGTGATTTTATTGAAAAAAAAGGGGAAATTAACACTTTCGATTCGAGACGTAGGCTCGAATTGCTCGAATGAGTTGAAACAACAACCGAGTACGAATGTACATAAGTGAAGATCTATCTTTAAGTTGGCCAACAGCCAGAATATATGGATCTGCAAATTAATTTGCAACGTTCTCTTAAAAGCTTATGTACATAGTTATGGAAACGCAATTCGTAGTACCGAAAGGGCGCAAAGTACGAGTGTCAACCGTTCTTTCTCTGCAACGTGACGCGTGATCTCTTCCTTACCGATGATGAATCGTCATCTATTCGTGACCGATATTTAGAAATCGAACCGAACGAGATCGACACGATCATTCGATAAAATCGTAAGCAGAAGCATTCACTCTGCGCGTTTCGATCTCTCCGGAGACGCTCGGGATTTCTGTTCTTGGCGGATTTCTGTCCTTTGCTAAGGACATTCTCGGTTGATTCCGGTGTCACGACCAAACTTGCACGAAATTTTACGCGATTCTTTTGTCTCTCGGTCGAAACGTCCGCCGAGGCGAACGGTGCTTTCTCTGCTGTCTCTCGCGCGTTTTTTACAAAAAACACCGAGTAAGGATCCTGCGATTTCTCTTCATCCCCTTTGTCCGCCGCTTCTGCGTTCTGCCCCTTTCTCCCGCGATCGGAATCGAGATCTTTGAACGGCTGAACCCACAGGTCGTCGCGATCGTAGCGTCTACAAGGATTCTCGGCGCTCAACGGCGTGTTCTTATTACTTTCTTCATCGTACGATGCTCGATCGTGAACTATCGACGACTTCTCGTCCGGAGAGTCGGGCTTCGGCTCAGGTTCGCACAATCTCTCCTCCGTGCTCTCGTATATCTTGAATTCTCGCAACGACGACAATTCCGAGCAGTTCGAACTCTCGCATTCTTCCCGGTAGTCCTGGTTTTTATAAATCACGCTGGTCGCGTTCGTTGGCTCGCTACCATTGTCGCGTCTCCTCCTCGACTTCCTCCACTTGGCGGAGAACTTTTTCACCAGCCCCTTCATACCCGACGATTTTGCGCAACGATCCGGCAGCTCTGTCCGCGCCACGTAACTGATGATGTCCGCCGGTGAATCCTCGAACTCGGAACCGGCCAATCTAGTTATACTCGGGTGCGTGTCCAGCTTGTAACCCCGGTCTTCCTCGTCCTCGTCCAGGTTGGCCAACCGGCCAGGCACCTTGAACTTCGTCGAGGCGATGCTTGTTTTTTCGGAAATCGTGAAAGGAAATCTATCCTGGCTTCTCTTCTTGAATCGCGGCGAGTCTCTCAGTCTGTCGTGACGCAACCTCGACGCCGAGGAGGAACCTGCCACGGTGAATTGCTCGACGTCGCAGAACGTCTTCTCTGGGAAGAACGTGACAGTGTCCGATTGAATGGTTCTCGTCTGTTTCAAATTCAGGTTTCTCCGAAACTGATCGGCTGCCAGTTTCTCTATGGAAAATCGGAGCTTGTCGTGATTTTCAGCGATTTCTCTCGGTTTCGCTAGTCCATCGTCTACTGGAGATTCCGTGCTTGAGGATCTCGATCTCTCCGAGTCTTCAATCATAATCCCCCGGCATTCGCTGTCCCCCATTCGGTTCTCGAATAAAGTTGCTCGTTGTTCATCTACCATCCGAGGGAAAAATTCCCTCTCGTATGTGCTTTGGTAATTTTCCAGAGGAACAGCTGTGACGTTTGTGGATTCTTCTAGTTCTCCCTCGAGACTTTTCAAGCACTTTCGCACGTCACGTCGTGGCGAGAAGCTGTCTGATTCGTTTCCCGAACAGATATTTTGCTTCAGAGTACTCTGTTCCTCAGTCCTATCGGAATTTTTTGAATTATCAACAAAAGTCGAGAACCTAAGTGTGTTCGCTGTGCGACCATCAACACCAGATCTGTCGCAGTTCTGATTCTCTTCGTTTCCCTTGCTCTCCGATCGATTATCATCGCTTGTCTCGACTCGTGATGACAAACAGTTCCTCAACTGAGCTCCCATCAAAGCCATATCCGACTTTTCTACGGTCAAAATCTCGCGACCTCTCTTGCAAGCAAACTGAAAATCTACAGATTCATTCTGAACGGATCTCGAACCTTTGGTTGCAGATGATTCGGCCATGTCCTCTCGAACCGCGTAGCTTCCCTCGATAGACGAATTTTCGTGCGACCTGCGATCGAATTGGAAACCTTCGAGGGACGATGAGTTATTTTGAAAACTCTGTGCAGCGGAGTCGACAGGAGTGATTGTTCGTTTGTCGCTTTCGTAAGATTTGTTGCCAATCGATGATTTGCTTCTGTCGCTGGGAATTCTTACTGGTATCTTGGACCTCACGCTGAGGGACGATCTACGAGACGTTGCCAGTCTACATTGTCCCATCGAGAAATCATTCTCAGACGATCCTAAACCGGAGACTGTGTTGCTGTCGGCGCAGATATTCCCCGCGACATCCTCTGCAGTTGTTCGTCGCTTCAAAGACGCGTTCGACAGGGCCATGATCAGAGTGTTTGGATCGAAACGTGCTCCTCCCGAGCAATCTTTGCCATTCGGTGACGTCGAGTACGACGCTTCTTGCGAGTTCAGTACCAAGGTTGGAACATTTGCGAATTCCTTGTCGCTGGTGACTTTGTTCGAGCACAGACTGTGCGTTTCCTGGCTGTTTCCGGCGGATCGATGCGAGTAGAAATTCTCGTACTGTGAAAAGGCGTTGAAATCGTTGATGAAAAATTCCCTGAAGGAGGAGGCTGCGCTCTGATCTTCACTCGCGTTGGACAATCGCGAGATCATGATGTTTCGCGATGATCGAGGAACATTCGTCTCGTTGTTCAAAATACACCGAGATATCGCTTCTTCGAAAGTGTGCGCGTTTGGCGAATGAAATCCAAGATTGTTGTCTGCAGCTTTTTGAAACATTGAACTTGGCACGATGACCTCTGGCGACGGCATGCTTTTTGGAGTCGAGCTGGAGTCTCGATCGAAGATCTTCTCACAATCTTCATAATTCTCACTGTATACGCTCCCACATGTGGGAAAAGTTCGATCTTCACGGCAGTTGAGATACTTCTTTCTGTTGATTGTTTCTTGATCATTCTGGTTGAAAATCTTCTCGCAACTTTGCCCTGAAGTTTCCTCTTCAAAGTTGCCAGGCAAACTTTTGGCAACATCTGAAGGGAGACCGAGAGTTTCAAACGCCGGCTGCGAACATTCTCCGTGACTGTTGTGGTCGCGAATTTCTCGCCTAGCAGAAAAGAACATAGGTTCTTCGTCCAGGGTTTCTTTCTTCGCACTTTGACCGCAGTCGCTCCTCGAACTCTGCAGAATTTTATAGAAAGACCTGTCACGCAGTGTTCTGCTCGGAGAATGCAAAGACAATGCGAACGTTAAAGGATCGTTGGAACCATGTTGCAGTTTGTTGCTGAGGTATTCGTTCCTCGAAGAATCGACGAGTGCTTGGCTGGACGATCTTCTCGAGGATAATGACGAATCGTCGTTGAAATTCCGAGCATTCGACGGATCGTTGACACGTAGATTCGACGAAATGTCGGTGCCTTGAGCTGCGAATTGTGGCGTCCTACGACTTGAACCAGTGTTCTCTTCGAAATTGGACTCTGCCTCGCTACCAGAGCTAAGATTCTGCAAGATTACTCCACCAAAGCGCCTGTACGTGCTACGCGAAGAATTTCTCAGCGAAATTGGCGAGACTGGTTGCAATTCTACTGTGCTGTTCGGAGAATTTTCGCGAGAGGTGTTAGGACCGACACGATGAAAGGCGTTTCTCTGAGAGCTGCAACCACTGTTCGTCTCCTCTTCTTGATTTCGATATAACCTCGCCGATAACGACGAATGTCGTTGACTAGCATTCGTCAACACCTCGAATCCCAGTGGTGATCGTTGATGTTCACTATGCTTCTCCGATCTTTGGCTGTTGGCCGAATCGTCCCGCAAATCAGAGGCACCGCCCTCGCTGGACTTCGAGGCGACGATATCTCGATCTGTCTCGTTTGCCAGACGAATCTTCGCTCGTCTGCGAGCTCGGGCGTCTTTCGCTTTCAAGTCGCTGAACAACCTCTTCTTGGAAAGAGGAGTCGCCTCCTCTTCCACCGTTTCCTCGTTCTCGACGTTCTCCTCTATTCGACTGCTCGTCCCGTGGAAGCAGAAGTCTCGCTTCCGCGAGAGACGCCGGCTGATGCCGATCACGCGACTTGCCATACGCGTGACTCCTTCATTCGGCGACGGGTGATGCTGAAGACGCTTCTTCAGGTCCGATGGCGAACTCCCTCCGGAATTACTCTCGCTTCTCGCGTTCTCTTCGTCCTCGTTTATCGAACGACCTGCGTAACCATCAAATTTAGTCTGTCAGGCTATCGATTTGTTCAACTTGATTAATACGATCAGGTTCAACTGGGGGGGGGGAGGGAAGGGGAATTTTCCTGAATATATCTAGAAGAATCGTGTACGAAAAGTTCTTAGAAATTGAAGGAGCAAAATTTCGATATTCTATTTGTAGATTTCCAACGATCGATTACTCTTCGTTCGAACGTTTTATTATTTCAGCGGAGACAGCGTGAGTCTCGTCTCTCTAAAAATATTACTATCACATCGTTGGCTTTGTTCAGTGATAGAAAAAAAAAAAGAAAACGTCAATATCCCTTGAACTTGCGACGTGAAGCAGAAATGCCAGAGGTTATGAGATAGAAAATGAATTGCAGATATTTCTAATCGTCCGATTATTCTGTAAAGTATAACAATTTATTGCTTTATTACGAGCAATCGGGCCTTTCGATCGATCGAGAAGATTCAGATAGGCTGTGAAACATTCGCGCGATTGTCGATCATCGAAAAATGAAGAAATGAAATTGTGAAAAGGTAAATATTGCAGGAAACGAAATCTCTACCGGCAGAAGAAGATAATGGACTCGGAGTCTTCGCTTCTGTAGTTTCCGGTGTCCTGCAGTTGGTGTTCAACATGTTGAATCTATGAGAAACATGCTGCTGATTTTTCATTCACGAATTATTGGATTAGCAGAATATATTGAAATCGCTCTGTGTCTAGCGTGGCACGAAGGGAAACATAAGAATGCGTTTCGGTTAACAAAACAACTAGATCGTGAATGTTTCTAATTGAAACTGTTCAAAATGATGTGTGACATCTATATTCTCTAACATCATTTATCACTTTTCAATATTACGATATCCTTTAGTTTAAACGATACTTTCAATCTTGAAATACAATTAATTTTATTTATTTAATTTCATTTTAGAATATAATCTGACTGTTTCAGAAAACATTGTAATTCAATGTAATTTGCTCTATTTATTCGTACATAATTATCCTCGTAGAAAAATTATTGATGGTTTTATTCCGTATAATTGTAATTATTTAGTGCAATCAACAAGACTTTAACGACGTATTTGCAGAACTTTGAAGATAATAAAAGTATGTATGTTATAAGAAATTAAGTAATACTTAAATAGGTGTATAGCTATTGATGGACATGTTTATTCGATGCTCGATATCGATAATATCGCGTTCTGTAGTTACCATTCAGAAAGCTCGGAATTTGTCTTGAAACTTTCGAAATACAATCGATACTATAGCAAACGAGATACAGAATAAATCATCGATTATATGTGCAATATCTATTTTAAAAATTATTAACTTTTGGAATTGTTTTGTTTCCTTCTTGATATGAATGAAAAGATCACTGATGATCTTTAGCTCCTTTTTTCTAATTTTTTTGTCAACTATTGTATACAGTAGTGTCCAAACTTCTTGTCAAATTTTCACTTAGTCTGATTTTCACAAATTATTAATTATTAATTATTTTTAATAATTGCAACAATTAGTTTAATCTGTAAGTCTTTCTTTTTCTGTAGTTTTCATTGTCATAATAGTTCCTGCAAAGAATTACTATTCTAATCAATTATTTATTTTTTTAATCTGTGATAAAGATGAATACACGTATACTGTAATTTTTTCCCAATATTTTTGTGCATGATACATATTTATTCTACAATGCTATACTATACATGTTTTAAAATTGCCATATAAGTACCTTTTGTTGGTAAAAAGTAAAATTTCAAAGATTTTCTCTGATTATCTGTTGTAAAACCATTGACTTTAGTTTGTCAATGGTTTTACAGGATAAGAAACACTAGCGCCACGTTGTGGTGGAACAGTGGAACTAAAATTCAGAAGTAGGTACTTTTAGTACCGCTGAGTTACTG